TCTTTACAGTTGAGCATATATTTGAGTATATGACACTTATGGTGTTGATTAATACTCATGATTTATTCCTATCCTTTTATATGCGCGATCGGTAAATCAACATGTAGAGGTTGACAACCGGATCATTGAGACTAATAATTTCATTGAGTTCAATGAGAAAAATAGGTCCCAAGGATTGAAAAGATGTTGATGCTCAAGTGATATGATTACACCTAAAATACCAAGAATAACACAGTAGAGATATTGAAGATGTTGGATATGAGGTGGCTACTATGGCAAGACGGTGAAGGGGTCGCGATACACCATGCGGCGGTGAAGGGCAAGCAAGGGGCATAGCACCGAAGAACCAAATCCGGTGGTAAAGGGGAAGTGACGGTGTTATCATGATGGACCGTGCGAGACCATTTGAAGCTACAAGTAACCGCATAAATCATTTGAAGAATATATGGTGAAACGGTTTTGGCGTTGCGGTCCCTTAAGACAAAGGAAGGAAGATGGAAAGAAGGTATTCCTATTAGTATAATTCTCTTCCTATTTAAATTTGAGTACAGGAATGTCGTACTATCAAGAGTGATGCAACGTCGATGTGTTTGTGTATGTGTCGGTGCTCAAAGTGATCTGTCATAGTGCTACCTTGAGAGAAACCCAAGATTTAACAAATCCTTTGAGTGTTTTTAGACGTTTTTTGGTTGAGTTGGGTAGTCCTCTGAGTCGGCTTTCCATAGAGTCCAAGATTATCAAAAACAGACTCCCAAGCGAAATGTTATGGTCGTATTACTATGTGCTTTTCGGAAATTCTGAAAAAACTCCGAAAGTCCGAAAAATATTTCGGAAAGCCCAAAATTTTTTGGAAATTCCAAAAATGACTGCGAAATTCATATAGACTTCTGTTAATTTTCGGGCTTGTCCGAACAGGCCTTTCGGAAATTCCGAAAGTCATAGTCTTGTCCTTCAATGGCTAGTTCTGAGAGGCTCGTGTATATAAACTCCTCCACCCCTGTTGACGGTCGTTATCGACCAATTTTGACCATCAATATTACTCAATTAATGAAGACTAGCTATGCCTGCAATGCATAATTTCCAAATAAAATATCTACCTCCACTATATACTATGCTACTAACATGTATATAGGAGAAGCACATATAAATGCAGGAGAATCAATAGAAAATAAAAGATCAATCAATCAAACATTGTCGAGATCTAGACTTATGGATGAATGGGCCAAGAACACAAGATTGACACATTCCTCTAGGCCATTTGGATAAGGGAGGAGTTAAGGGGGGCACCTGCCGAAAATGGACCAGAATGGCCCAACTCATGGTTCGGCCAAACCCCCCATCTGCGCCGTTGATTCTTGGTTTTGGCGTGGACGCTCCAGATGATGTCCTGATGGCGGTTACGGGGCACAAAGGACATGTCGCACACTTATAACCGTCATAACTGCCCTATATAAGGACTTCACTCCCTCCACTTCAACACACACTCAAGAAGAAGAGCTCTCTCCCTCTCTCAAGTTTAGTAGTATCTTAGTGCTAGTGGAGTAGGAATTAGAATAGTATTCTGAATCCTCGGGTCTTCAGGAGAAGTCGGGTATGGCTCTAGTAGCTTTCCACTCTTCTTTTGTAAGACTTATTGAATTAACAGAATATTCTTTTTTATACATTTATGGTATTTTATTCCATTTATATTATCTAAGTACCAACTTTCATTTATACTTATATCAATATAGTTCTGTAGCTAGCCTACCAGATAGGTGCAATGGTGTGGGTTTAGTGTCCGATTACTCGGTTGCTCTATGTCATCTCGGGGGATATAGAGTAGTATTTAATAATATAGACGTGGTGTCTAGATTATTAAGTATCATTATCTGGGCATATATGCTGCGGGACAGTAGAGGTGAGCCACTGATAGTGACAACTCAGTACGGGTATTCCTCCACGTTAGTATAAATTCATAAGACAAATTCCTGGGGAGGGTACTACTCCATATTTAACCCCGTTGGAAGGCCATGACAGGTTGTCGTAAGGAACTTGACAACCCAGGGTGGTCTCTCAAAACACCAGGAGGGCACTGTTAGGGGTTATTGGTTGCATGGTTGTGTACTAGCAAGTGTAGACTAAATATGTATGTATACTAGAAGTATAGGAATGAATTCTTTTCTTATTATTCCTCCACTTAGCTTAGATTATATTTTAGTGAGAGTATCCTAGTTCTTTCTTCCGTGTGTCACATACCCTTTGAATTACTTAACCCTTGCATAGACCTTGATGTATACAAGTATATAAACTATTAGCATAGTATTCTCTTATCATATCTTCCCTTGGGATTAAATAAATACGATACCTTGGAATACTCCTAGATGAAATGCTACAATGGTATATCCGCGCGCTTGCGGACATATCTATAACCATAAGTATACCATGAAAATTTCTACGCCATTACTGGGATTTATATTTCTAGAAATATCGTTAAGAAATATCAACAATCCCTCCTTTGAGTGGCTGTTGTTCTTGGGCATTATTAGACACATCCAAAGCTAAATAGCCTTCCCCATTATCCTACCTTTGTGGTGCCTATTTGTGAGTGGGATTTGAGAAGGGGAGAGACTTGGATTGAATGATTGTGAAATTGAGAACTAGTGAGCTTCACACAATACTTTGAGCTCTCGAGTTCATAGCAAGAAAATCTTCGATTGAGTTTGTTACTCTTGGGGACTAAGGTCTCGTAGATGGCTAGGCATCGCTGGTGAGCACCCAAGGTTGAGGTGTGTCGCGGAAAGTTTATGAAGGCATCGATTTCGCCTCCGCAAGGGAAGAGTGAAATCGAGGAGAGCATTTGCGCAACCTCGTAAGGAAAAGGTTGAAATAGACCCACCTTTGTGGCCCCCCCAACGGAGACGTAGGATCCGCAGATCCGAACTTCGGAAAATAAATCAACGTGTCTGTTCTCTTGGGTTGCTCATTCTTGCCATTCTCATATTGTGCTTGAGCTTGTTTTTACCCAATCTACTTGTATGCTTAATTAATATAGTTGGTGACCTTATATCTTGCTTAGATACCTTGTTTGTCACCTTTTGATTCATATACATTTTGTTTGTTCGAGCTACAAATTCATAGATAGTGTTTTATTCTATTACCACTGAACTTTTCGGTTGAGACCGGAACTTCCAATCCCATACCGGAAATTCCGATTTGAACCGAAAGTTATCATCATTATAATATGCTAATGAAGTTGTGATAACTTTTAGGAATACCTATTCACTCCCCTTCTAAGCAACATCAAGGTCCTTTCAAACCTGAATGACATTCGATAGTAAGCATACATTCCATTGGATACGTGAACGTTGTCTTGCTTTGATCGTAGGAATATATGGGAATTATATGATAACCAGAATACCCATCAAGAAAACAAAAGAAGGAATGATTTGTCTGCCGCTCTAACATCTCATCAATGTAGGGCAGCAGAAAATGGTCCTTTTTTATAGCCTTGTTGAGTTTTCTATAATCAATGCACATCCTCCATCTAATGACAGCTCATTCCGGGATTAACTCGTTCTTCAAGTTTTCAACTACTGTCATGCCTCCCTTCTTAGGCACAACCTGAACTGGGTTAACCCATTCGCTATACGACATAGGATAGACCTCTTTTTCACAACTTCTCTCATCGTATTGTTTAGCCTCTGTTGTGGCTCCCAAGAGAGTGCGCAAGAAGGGTCTAGGGGGATATGATGTGTGTAGAGAGCCGGACTAATCCCTTTGAGAACTTGAAGAAAGTAGCCTAGAATAGAGCAATGCTTTGCTAGCATGGCTATGAGTCGGGAGGTCAGATCATCACTCAGTTTGTCACTTATGTCGACGGGCGACTCTGAGTCACCATGTAGAAAAGCATGACGAAGGCCTGAAGGAAGAGGTTTGAGCACAACTATAGAGGTCGTGAATACGGATCGGTTTTGGGTAACTCAATCACCTCTCCAAGATCGTCCTCTTTCTCAACAAATGCAGTGGAAATCATCTTCGAGGAGGGATTCAGGGGACTCAAAAGGAGAGACAGCCAACACTTCCACAATTGTCTCGAATTTGGGAATGGGGTTCCATCAAAGAGTTTTTTTATCGTGAGATCTGGACAAAAAACACCATTTTCCCAAGCTTGATGTCGAGAACTCCGGTTCTTGCACATTGAAGAAGAACTTTTCTATGGGATGGCCGACGTGGAGTTTGAACTCATAGACTTCGAACTTGTGGAAATTAAGAATTTTGTTGTGCTGAATTGGCACTCTGGGGATAACCCCGTACCCTTCGATGATAGGACTAGATTAATCCTGAAAGGTTTTGTCCGTTGGTGTCGTAGGCTCTCCGGACCTCTCATTATATTTGAGGGATGAAGTGAATAATTCAAGCCATCAAACAAACATAATGAAACATCCGACGCCTCGAGAGAAGGATATTAGAGACATTGATGGGCCTTTAGCCTGCCAGTCAACTTCAGCCTGAGATGTGCCCGTCAAACCACACGAAGGCGGCGACCAGATGTATCACACATTCAGGAGACTTGACAAAATGGCTAAAGATCTACGATATCTCAAATATCCTTAACTCATACTCATGTGAATCTAGTTCCCAGGATGTGTACTAGATTCACACTTTCATCTTAAGCATGGTTATGCATAGCAAATACAAATAAGATGAAAGCGATTCAAATTTACAACTACTTTATAGTTACATAGGCCGACCGACGAAATATAGATAGATAACAGAGAACAGCAGAAGCTTGACTACCCAACCACAAGCACACCGACTAGGGGTTTACCCCATTAAGTTCAAGTCCTAGAGAGAGCAACCGAAACCCGCACCACTCAAGAAGACTAAGTCTAACATGCAAGCAAAAGGTTATTCCAGTAGCAAGAGTCAGTACATTAATGTACTGGCAAGCCAAAAATCAATCCTAACATACTACATGTAAGGCATATATTCAAAGGAGGGCAATATATAGTTTAATTTCAGCATAAAGCAAGTTTTGGTTCACAAATCTTTTGTAAAGGAGTTGATTCAATTAACAAAACAAATTTGTAAGTTCATCATAATTAACATCATATCATCATAGATAACATCATATCATCATAAGCATACTCTTGCTGCCTTCCATGGCACAACTATTATAATCATCATCACTCACACAACTCAACACAATTCTTCCACAAGACTATACTCATGACACATCACCAAAGCGCTCATGACCGTGAGCACGGCTAATCAATTAGTTTTAAAGAACTCTGCAGAATTTGTACAGCTTTACCCACATGATATGAACACTCTAGTTTGTTTTGAGTTTGCAAGACTCTACCACATTCTTCACGTCGAATGTGGTCTAGAGGTCATAACGAAGCCTTTACATTGCCTAATGCCTAACCTTGCACGAGCACGGCAAGTGTTTATCCACACGAGGAGCAACCCACGTGCTGCTAGGTCGGGGGGGCCTCGCCATCCCTAGCGCCGTGGCAGCGAATACATCCGTTCCTCCACGAGGCACTTAACCGTTATATTGGACACGCTTAGACGCCTAGGCACAACCGCACTAGGCAGCTCCTATAAACCATCATTCCAACTAGTTCATACTACTACGGCCTCCCAATGCAATGTTAGACATTAAACAACTTAATAAGCTAAGGCCGTCCCATTCCTAGCACATGTGGTTGCACAGTATACTTAGATGGTGACACAAAGTTCGGTCCTTAATTGACTAGGGCGAGCACTCCCCCTATCGGTATGCAACTAGCACCATATGCATACCACTTGCCGCCCAAGTCTAAAATCACACTTTTACACATTTTAATTCACAAATATCAGAGATATTCACCTCTGTCCAGCAGTGAAAATACTCCCCAAATTCTCATTTAAAAAGTGATCATGAAGTTATTTAGCAACTACTAGGCATGGCCAAGCGTAAGGCTTTTATGTAAGCATGTATAAACCCAATTGAGCACTTTGAAAGTACTCTAACCATTTCTAAGGTTACAATCAGTGAGGATCACAATTATTCAAAGAAGTAAATGCAGCAATTAGGTCATAGCTACCATAACCAAGTTTCAAATACCGTTATAGTCTAAATTCACATGCAACTTTGCAAACAAATATTTTCAATCCTCAAAACATGGGATTCAATGTGATCAAATATTGGGAGGATAAAACTTGCCTTGTTCCTGGGAAATGTTAGCACCTAATTCACTTCTTCACCATTTACGCAATTATCTATATAAAGTACACGTTATGCAATTAAACACCAAAATAGGTAAAAACCCAAAAGGCTCTAAAATGCATGATTTGTGCACCGTGGGTAGGTACTGGTCTAAGATGAATTTAGGTGAAAGAATTTCTATTTTATCTCTTTTTATTTGTCAGTTATGAGTTTTAGAAGTTTGCTCGGTATAGGGTGGTATTTACTTAGGTAGTGTTATGAAATATTTTTGCAAAGTGATTTTTATTAGGTTTGATTTCTCAGGGGTGTAGAGATGTGTTTTCAAAGATAATACATTTGGTTTCATAACTTTTAGAGTTATTATGAATTTCTTATGTATTTTACAAGTTTTAACGTGTTGTAGGTAGGTAGCTTCTATGTGTACATGGTTTTGGAGTTTTATGTCCAGTACATGTTTCATATTGTTTGTGATGTATAAAATGACTAATTTTATCAACCAATATAATCTTAGTTCACAATTTTAGAGATTATATTACTCTACTACACATTTTATAAGCTAGGGGAGTGTTCTATGTTAGTTACTGAACATACCAACCTAGAAATTGATATATGAGCTAAGTGTGCTAAGTTTTTGGTGGTTAGGGATGGAACTATGACCTCTCTGGTCCATCAAGTTTTATTTTGGTTACTTAGAGCTAGAGTACATTTATATATACATTTATACATATGTATTGCCTAACCAATACCATGTGATTAGCACTTATGTTATCTATTTAAAGTTTAGTGACATATTTAGTATAGAAGGTGCCACATTTTAATTTAACTAATTAAAGTTCATTACTTGCTGGTTCTGAAGAAACTTGGTTCATTCCATTTGGACTAAAGATGAATTCTCTACAAATTTTAGAAGTTGAAGGGTGCTCTAAGTTGTTTATTCCTTATATAAATATTTAGGGGCTTTTATTGCACTGTAAGTATATATTTTTATTATATATCTTTGAAGTGCTAAACTTGGTTATTCTGCGGAACTTGAGTTTACTCAAAAAGGAAGTAAGATGAATTTTATATAAATTTTTAAAGTTCAGCTTATCTAAAACTAGTTATTTTGTAGAATATACATTTAGAGGTATTTGGTGTAAAGCAAGTGCATCTTTTTATTTTATTTTACCTTAGAGAGTAAGTTGGTGAATCTGTGGAAGTTGAGTTTGCTTCAATTTAAGTTGAAATGAATTCTCTATGCATTTTGTAAATTTGTGCATGCTTTATGTGTAGTTTTTCTTAGATAAATTTTAGAGGTGAAATTTATACTGCAAGTGCCAAGTTTTATGTTTCCATATTAAAGCTCATCCTTCTATGAGTTCACAGAAACTTGAATCATCTCAAAATGAGCTATATTTCACTTTGTATGAATTTTACAAGTTTGCATGTTTTTCTGTTGAAAATATAAAGCTCTAGAGGATTTTCTTTAGATTTTCAGATTTTTAAGCTCATGGGGTCCACCTGTCAGTGAGATACCAATATGCAAAAAGATCTCTGGGTTTTCAGGCAATCAATCCGCAGTCCTATGACTGTTGCATTGTGTGGCAGTTTTTACAAAGTAGTACCTACAGTTTTGTTTCTTCTCCACAGAGGTCCCTGGTTCGAGCTGAAACAGAGCTAGCCATGGCTGAGCTCGTTCTCGAGCTTTCTGGCGGTGAACGGTGGCAGATCTCGGCATGAAACCAAAAGAGAAAAGGAAGAGGGGTTCTTTGCGAAGCTAATGGTAGTCTTATCGTGATCTGTGGTTACCGGAATCAATGGCGACGGCGGCACGAGTGGCGGTGGGTCTCGGGGTAGTGATGCATGTCACGTTAGAGGCCGGATCTAGGTGGATAAAATGCATGCATGCAACTCTAGAAGCTCCAGGGTGCTCACAGTAGTATTGGACGAGGTTGGCCAAGCTTGGTCGTCGACGACGGCGTTCGGAACGGCTCGGCGACGGCGCTCCTTCTCCATGAACGGCGTCGGCTTGACTCACTACAAGAACTGCCATGCATGCGTGTCTCTCATGTTATAGTGGTCGTAGGAAATCTATGTGTGCATGGAATCGACTTGGAGCTCACCGGAGAAGGAGGAATCAAAGATGGAGCTCGGCGGCCGGAGTTGGAGAAGAATAGCTCGATATCTCTCCTCGGTGCTCGGATCTTGGGGATTCTTGAGGGCATTTGGAGAGGACCTCGAGGGGAAGATTTTGGCGCGACGGCTCGGCCGGATTCGCTCCACAGCAGCCGGGACAGCGACGAGGTCGTGGCGGCGGCGCTCCGGGCGCGCTCTGAAGCTCCCGTGGGCACGATGGCGTTCCCGTCGCTGCAGTGGATGAAATGAGATGGTGTCAAAAGGAAACTTGTTCGGCATGAAGATTAGAATACGGAACGGGAAAGAGTTAGAGTTGGCAAAGTCTTGACGATGTGTTGCGGCGTCCTTCTTCCTGGCGGCCGGCAACGAAGAGGAGAGGGAAGACGATAGCTGGAGCTCTCCCTCTCGGTTTCTTTGGCTCACGGGTGGTGAGTGATGTGTGGAGATGCAACTGGGAGGAGGAGAAAGCTAGAGATGCAGAACTGGGCGTCCTCACGTCTCGGCCACGCGTCGACCGGCGCCCAGAGCGTGTCCCCTCTTCTCTCTCGTGTTCTTGGTCGGTTGGAGAGGAGAGACAGAGGAAGGGAGCCTGCCAAGTGGGTCCAGGGCGAAGGGAACAAGTCTGGAGTGAGAGAGGTGGGTAGGAGATTGGGTGTTAATCGATTTTGGACGATTTTCAGGATTTGAATCTCTCTCCTCTCTTTGTTAATCTATAGTTTAATTTTTGGGCATGATAAATTCATGTGGATTTTTCTAGAGGTAGATGAGGATACCTAGTTTCCATTTTCTTTTGTTTCTCTTAAAAAGTTTATGTGGTTTGCTCTCAGAAAATTCGAGAAGATGGGCTCGGTAGATCATTGTTTGAATTTTTAGGAGATTTAAACAGAGTAGATAAATTCTGGAAAAATTCTATTTATTCATGATAAATAACCTAGTATTTGAATAAATTATTTCCCCTATACACTTTTATGCAGTTTAATGCACATTATGGTGAGGGTATGTTTTAGCCGATTAAGGATTATAATTAGTCTATCATTTAATTGATTTGACTGATTTATTTGAGGTATCATCCTAAGTGTTAAAATTTGAATAAAATTACAGTGAATTGTATGTGTTGAGTAGAGACTACATGAATTTTCCCATGATTTTACCTTGCACGAATTATTTTCAATAATTCGCAAGCATTTATTTATATAAGTGTTCTCACTATATAAATGCATCTAAATGTTTGTAAAAACTTATATTAGGAATTGACTTGAACTGAGTTGTTATTATTTGACTTCACTTTCATGTCCTTGTAATTATGTCACAAGAATGACCATGGGTTTGTCTAGTAGTGTTGTCCTTTTATTCATGTTCATGAACCCAACATGATATGCAACCAAAATCCAAATGCACATAAAAGACACAAATCAAACTAATGCTAAATGCATATGCATGTACACATTTTTGTTTGCATTTTTGTCCTAGGCTGAAAATGGAAAGGATTTAATTTGTTCTCAAATTTTTACTTAAGTACAAGTTAAGTTGACCTCACCTAGGTTAAAGTAGCAATTTTTGGCTCCCAAAATTGGAAATGTTAGTTTCTAATTATTTTGATAAGAAAATTTTAAGACCTAGAATTCTGGTATGTCACAGTTGGTGTCATCGGCTCGTCCCCTAAACACGAGAGCGCGAAGGTTGCAGGCATAATGTTTGCACCAACAGTAAGATTATAAAGATTTTTCACCATGGACCTCTCTCACGAGTCAAGGAATGGTTAAGGACGGGGAGCTAATCCGAATTGCTTCACTCATGATGGTAGTCAGATGAGGCTGGATCCATTGGAAAGAGGACTCCGAGAGCTTTACATCAAGTACTCACGGACCGAAAATGGAGTTCATATGCATATTTGGCTGCCGTTCGAAGTCAACAATGTAGTAGGAAGCCGAATAAGATTGCAGCATGTCACACCCTAAAAATCCTAAATATATAAATTGTTGTTTAACTGGAATTATTAAAATTTATTTTAAAAGTCTAGAAAAGAAGATCTAATTTTAAATAATAAATTCCAATATAAAATAGGGCTAGATAAAATTTCATTAAATACTTTACTTAATTCTATAATTCCTAGATTTTTCTGGGATTTATTTGAGCTAAGGAAGTATTTTTAATAAATAGAATTGCATTTCATGAATAATTTAAATTGAAAAAGGTTTTTAAAATCCTCTTTTGGCTTTGGGCCGAAAGTCGGCCCAAAACCTTCTCTCTCTCTCTCCCTCGGCCCAGTCGGCCCAGTCAGCCCACAGCCGCCCGCGCGAGCGCCCTCGGCCGCTGACAGGTGGGTCCCACCTATCGGACTCGTCGTCCTCCTCGCGCCATCGCCCGGCCGGAACCCTAGCCGAGCCACGCCGCCATCTCCTTCCAAATTCGCTCGCGCCTTTCCTTCTCCGGTGAAATCAATTGAGGGGAAATGTTTCCTGAGATCTCCTCTACCTTTTCTCTCTTGGAATCGTCGGCTAAATCGTTTGGAAATCCGTGGATTCGAGTTCGATTCGGATCGATCTCTCTCCTCCGAACCCTAAAATTTCCTTCGCGTCGCCGGTCACCGTGGGCCTTCGCCGCCGCCTCCTTGCCCCTATAAAAGGACCCCCAAGCCCGCCGCTACCTGCCGCCACCCTCGCCTTCGCCTCTCGCCACCCGTAGCGCCCTAGCCCCGTGTAGCCTAGCGCCGCCGTCGTCGCCGTTCGTCCAGCCGTGCGCCGCCGCCGATCCCGTCGTCGTCGTCGCTCGAGAAAGTCACCGTCGTGGTCGCCGTCGCGTCGCCGTCCTCGTCCTCGGGAAAGCTATTAATATTTTGAGTGCAAAAAATAATAAGTGTGAGAAGATCTATAGAAAACAGGAGTTTATCATTGAATCTCTTAATTCTGAAATTGCTAGATTAAAATCTCTTATTCCTAATGATGATGATTGCTCAAACTGTGAGGTTTTAATGAATGAGATTTCAAAAATTAGAAATCTCATTCATTAATTTTTTTTTCAAAAATTAGAGATGTAAAGGCACTATGTTTAGCCACGTCATCAAAATAGTTTGAACCCTCTAGAAAGATGGCGACTCTCTTCTCTGGCGACATCCATGGCGACTCTCTCTAGAAGATGGTCATGCCGGCGCCGCCTACTGGATGGGATTTCTCCCCGGAGGATTCCATCCGCGATGAAGTTTGGAGCCGTTTTGGTTCACCAGTGCACTTTTCCTCTCATTTTAGCCGTTCTCCGTTTCGATTAGTGGTTGATGTTCCTCGTTCTTCGTTTCGATTGACCTTGTCCTCGGTGGTGAAAAACGTCCGGTTTTCATGTTTAGGGGGGTAATTCATACTCACCCAATAGTTCAGGGGGGTAATTCGTACTTTTTCCTTTTCCCCCTGAAGAAGACCTTCCCCCTGCTGGTCCAAATAATGATGAAAATCCTGATGGTAATGATGATGATGATTGTAAGCAAGATAATATTTGGCAATTTGGCCCACATCCTGTGGTTCTTGCAGAAGAAGACCAGGCTTGGAATCAGGCTGCTGTGGGCCATCAGGCCATGGACCTTGAACAAGCTGCTCCTGAGAACATGGGCCAGATTGATAACAACCATGGCTGGAATCTGGTTACTAACAGAAGTTTAATTTTCACCCTTGCTGATGCTTACAAAGATGCCTTCAATTCCTGGTCTGCCAACTCTCTCGCAAATTCAGCCCTTAATCCTACAAAGCTTAATTTTAATTTGGGAAATGAAATTGTGCCATATGATTCTATTTCTTTTGAATCTTCTGCTATAATCCTGAGCCCAGAACCTCTAGCTGTCATCCCTCCGCAGTCTGTGATGCCTGTTTTGCCTGAGGATCCTTTTGGCTCAATGGAGGAACATTCTTGTCCTTCTACTCCAACAGGCATGGAAATAGAGATTAGTCTTCCACCTTCCCCTAGGAAAAGAGGGAAGAAGAGAACACCTTTTGTTGACTCTCAAGTTAGAAGGAGTGGTAGACTTCTGGCTCTTAGGGATAGTTTCAAGAATACTCTGCAAGAGGATCCAAACATGGGTGTTGGAAAGCCAAGAGGGAAGGCAGTTAAAAAGCTGAAACAGTTGGCTGAGGCAAGTGGAATTGTTTTCCCATCTGATTCTTTATCTTCTACTGATTTAAATCCTGATATATCTTGTGAGTCTGAAAGTGATCTTACATCTGTTATACCTGCTGATTGTGATATATCTTTTCTCCAGAAGATTGGATCTAAGATGTGTGGGACTTCCCTTGAGGAGGTTTCAAGCTTGGTGGACTTGGGAGAAGCTCAGGTCATCAAGCCGAAAGCAATTGGACCATCCAATGATGAAGCCTAGTTCTATCAGACTTTTAGGGCTGCTAGTGGCACTCTTTTGGGGCATGTGTTTATTCCTTTATCAGCCCTTTTATTTTGTGTTTAAGTTATGTAAACTCTATGATGGTACTATGTGTTGGTGTGCTTGGGAACTGCATGGATTATTCCTGCTTGTTATCTTTCTCTCTTTAAGACTAGTTGTCAAATGAATTCGGCTATGAGAAATTGGAATGTCCTCTGTTGGAATGTTAGGGGTCTGAATTCTGATGACAAATGGTTAGCCATTAGAAATAAAATTGAGGAAAGTGGTTGTGCTGTTTTTTGCCTTCAGGAAACAAAAAGATCTTCTTTTGATCATTCTTACATAAAGAAGTTTGCTCCCAAACGTTTTGATAAGTTTGCTTTCTTTCCATCTGTTGGAGCTTCTGGTGGCATTTTAGTTGGCTAGAACAGTTCAGTTTTTGGGGGATCAGATATTATAATTGAAAGGTTTGCTGTTAAGATTACTTTCACCTCAAATCATTCTGGTTTAGTTTGGACTTTAGTTTCAGTTTACGGTCCCTGCACTGCTCCTGAAAGAGATAACTTCCTGTCCTGGCTCCACCAGTTGAACATTCTTGATGATGACCTCTGGCTCATCTTGGAGACTTTATCTTCTATAGATCAGTTACAAATAGAAATAGGCCGGGTGCAGACATGAATGATATTTTCCTGTTTAATGCAATGATCAGTGATCTGGGTCTAGTTGAGCTGCCCCTCAAGGGAAGGGCTTTCACTTGGAGTAACATGCAGCATAGTCCTCTACTAGAGCAATTGGATTGGTTTTTTACCTCTACTGTTTGGACCTTAACCTTCCCCCATACCTTAGTAAAGCCACTTGCTCGGTCTACTTCAGATCACACACCTTGTGTTGTGCAAATTGGAACTGACATCCCCAAGGCTGACATCTTCAGATTTGAAAATTTTTGGGTAGAGCATAATGGTTTCTTTGATTTAGTTCAATCCATTTGGCAAAATCATGGGTATGAAGGTAATGTAGCCAAGAATATTTTTGTTAAATTGAAGGCTTTGAGGAAAGGTTTGAAGAAGTGGAGTAAATCTCTCTCTAAACTTCAATTGTTGATTAAAAATTGTAATGCTATCAT